GAATACCGGTTTGGGTTTGATATGCTATAATTTGTTACAAAAAGAGTTAAATGCCCTTTTCAAGGTAAAATATGGTGGCAAGCGACGTGGAGTGTGATCAGAAACCAGAGACATGTCTCTTTCAAAAACGAAACGACGACAACTGTTATATGAAACCCCTTCATGTTAAAGCTGAATCTGAGTATTACAATTAATTGAATTCAACAAGTTGTGCCAACAAAAAAAACGTATCTTGCCGCTTGCGCCGACATAACTCGATCAGGCATATCAACTCGAGAATACATGTAATTTGAGTTTGTGTTTTCATTTAACCTTCACGAAAAGCAAAAAATTATTAAATATTTATATCATGATATATTGCAATACAAAATATAATATTGCAATATATCGCGATACGATTTTTCCGTCGCGATACCCAGCACTAGTGATTAATGACTTAGACTTTCCCTTTCCTATTGCATTTGGTAACCTTTACCTAGAACTAGAGAATGCAATGGTCAGGGTTGTGTGGAAAAGGAAAATGGATAATTTAGTGATTGGAGCACTTGGCTTAAATTATGCAGCAGTTCAATCCCTTGTCCAGCTATAGAGTCCTTTCACACTTGTTTCCATTCACCTATCCTTAATTTGAAGGTGAAAGTCTTAATTGCTAGAGGCAAAAGAATCTGGTTTGTTTGCCATCCAAGGGAGAAGACAATTTAGGGAGGGAGGAATCAGGGATGTAGTGTTTATGGTTATAAATGTATGTACCTTAGATATCAGCTTAGGTAAAGCTTTGCAGTGCATGGTTAAAGTACCAAAATTTTTATGCTGGGGCCCTGGTAAAATCCTTATTGCAGCCATAATTGCATGCTTTTTCAGTTAAAGTTATCATTATTACACACAACTGTTATAAACTGTTCTCTCAGCTTTCAAACAAATATTTTATTTTCCTCAGTGAAGGATCACACTATGAGTTTCCATGGACACCTAAAGGTTACACAGGTTTTAAGATCCTCCTGTCTGCCCGGCTGTGTGCAGCGGTGTGGAACATTGTCGGTGACTGTGACGAGACGTACAACTACTGGGAACCAGTCAGTATTTGTATAGTTGTATAATTTATATTGACTACGAAAGCATTTTCCAGCTAGGGAGATAACCAGAATCATCCTCAATAAACAAATTAACTTTGAAAAAAAACTAAAAGTTTGATTTTGATTTGATAATAAAGAAAATATACAATAAGTACATGTACTATAATTTTTTTATTCTGACATACACTGTATACAGTAGATATCATTAGTCTCAAATTCAGGAAAAAATCTCAGTGTACACTTTCAAATAAATGAATAAATGGATATTAACAAATTTTTATTATTCTGTTTTTATTATTTTATTATATTTCATTCTGAATTAATGTCAGGATAATAAGTGTTGATGTTAATTCCCATTTGTATTTTTAGATGCACTTCCTGATGTTTGGTAAAGGATTCCAAACCTGGGAATATTCACCAAAGTATGCCATCCGCTCCTATGCTTACCTTTGGATCCATGCCCTGCCAATCTCCTTGTATAAAACATTATTTAGCACAAATAAGGTAAATATAAGTTCCTTTCTTTCCATTCTTTATAATGGAACAATTATATCGTATGAGATGTATTTGTTGTGAATTATTGAAGTTTGAAAAATATGAAATGTGAATTAAAAATTTGCTTAAATTGATTTAAGTACCCTTTTGAATTTTGATCTTCTTAACTTTATAGTATGATGAAGAATTGTTAATGAACCTTTTCTCCACTCTTTCAGATAATGCTGTTTTACATTTTACGCTGTGTGCTTGCTTTTGTGTGTGCTGGCTGCGAGATTTATTTTTACAAGTGAGTATAAACACATATTGTAGGTGATTTTATAGTAAGAAGGAAGTGAGCATCACTAGCATGTGTTTTTCTATCATTTAATAGTCAACCTTAGTGTTATAATGTATTCAGTCTGGTTAAGACAAAATGATTTGCAATCCTTGATTTAAAAGATCCAAATCAGTACTGTAGATTCCATATCTTTAGCGAGTACTTTTTATCGCGAACTGGCTCTTTAACGTCAAATAGCGAGAATAATATTTTGCGAAAAGACGGTTGATCGACGGAATTTACATGGATTTCAACACCAAAAAAATAAAAGCTAGTCGTATTATTTCGCGACTGATGATTCTCGAAATTAATTCCTAGTGTATAATTAGGAATCTACAGTAATTATTTTATCTAACAAAAAATGTTTCATTTGAAATTTATCTGATATAAATTGAATAACTGAAAATAGAAGCATGTTGTTAAATTAATTTTTTTTCCTGTACATTTTTAGAGGTGTTTGTAAGCAGTTTGGAGCTAACACAGGAAGGATAACTCTTGCAGTCCTGTTAATCAGTGCTGGGATGTTCATCTCCTCCACTGCTTTTCTCCCCAGTAGTTTCTGTATGTACATGACCATGCTATCTATGGGAGCCTGGTTCCTGGGACATCTACATGTAAGATATTAGCATACCCGGTAATTGGGAAAAAAATCCCCTGAAATGCCTCCCCCCCATATTCTTTGTAGTAAATGCATTAAAAACTTCATTTCAATTAATACCTTACCAAACAATGGCAGAGATGCAACACTATCTTTATTCAAATCATTCTATGAGTAGAAATCGAAATCTAAGTCCAATAATTTTGTAGTTTTAGAATATCATCTTTGGACAGTAGACAGGGAGAGTTTATATCAGAGAGTGAAAATTTATCCTTTTAAGATTTTAAGCATCATAACATCAGTTTTGTTCCAATGTACATGTACTTCAGTAAATCCACATTGAAACCTAATCAAATAACTGTAAAAAAAATTCTTTTCTTAAATGTGTGCAAGATAAATCTGTTCCGGAGCAATTCTTAATCCCACATTATTATTGTCTGTATGGTACAAAACAGTTCAAGTTTAAAAGGTAAATGAATCATTTTATAAAACAGGCAAACTCAATTACAAATACTGAATAGTCAGGTTACTAATTCAATAAAATTCTCAACAAATCTATGTTGTCAATTAAGACATGAAGATAAATAATTCTTGTTGTGTATGCTATGGCTGCTATTCCTGCTTCTCAGCCTTTTGGTTTATATATAGATCATAGTGCTGTATGTGTACTTATAAAGCAGGCTTCATATATTAGAGGTTTTGGAATGCAGACAACAATGCACTAATTTATGAATACCACCAAAATTTCTTTTTAGCTCTTCTGAGCCAAAGGCTCAAAGAGCTAATGCTATGGTCATTTGTGCGGTGTGCGTCGTGCGGTGTGCGTTAACTTTTTAGAAAATGGGCCATAACTCAAGAACGCCTTGGCCAATCAGTGTCAAATTTGTCACAGGGTATCCTTGGCCCAAGGGCTACCATTTATACTAAAATAAGGGTTGGGACCCTTAAACAAGGGGAGATAATCAGGAAAACAAAACCAAAAGTACTGGTTGCTAAAAAACCTTCTTCTCCAGAACCACCAAGCAGATTTTCACCAAACTTACACTCAAGGATCAGAATATGTTGAAGATTAAAAATTGTTCAAGGCATGACCCTGGGGCAAAGGGCGTGGTCTCAAGGTCACTTCAAAGTTGACCTAAATTTACAATTGATAAAAACGTGTATATTTTGCTTACTATAAGGACTAGGATCATCAAATCTTGTAAGTTGATGCATCTTAAGACTTCACATCATGTTAAATCAAAAGTAGGTCACAGTGACCTACTTTTTTAATTTTGCGGGCATTTATTTTCAAATTGATTTGAAGGCATATTTTGGACACTTTAAGGCCTATGATCATCAAACTTTGTTAGTTGATGCATCTTGGGTCCTTGAACAACGTCAACTTAAAAGTAGGTCACCTTGACCTACTTTTTGAACTTTATGACTTATCTTTTTTAAAACATTTAATCCCATTATTGCAGACACTGAGAGGGTTAGAATCATAAAATCTTGTAAATTGCTGCATCTTGGGACCATAAAACATATTTATGAAAAAAGTAGGTCACTGTGACCCACTTTTTGAATTTTGCCTGCATATGTTTTCATATTGTTTAAAAGGCATATTTTGATTACCTTCAGACCTACAATCATCAAACTTGGTCAGCAGATGCAACTTGGGACTTTGAAAAATGTTGACTAAAATGTAGGTCACGGTGACCTACTTTTGACATTTTATGGCTTTATTTTAGTATCTTCGGTATTTATTGGCTAAGAATCATCAAACTTTGTGAGTTGATGCATCTTGGGTTTTCGGAGAGTGACGACCAAAAAGTAGGTCACAGTGACCTACTTTTGACATTTTATAGCTTTATTTAAGTATCTTAGGTATTCATAAGCTTAGAATCATCAAACTTTGTGAGTTGATGCATCTTGGGTTTTCGAGAGTGACGACCAAAAAGTAGGTCATGGTGACCTACTTTTGACATTTTGTAGCTTTATTTAAGCATCTTAGGTATTAATAAGCTTAGAATCATCAAACTTTGTGAGTTGATGCATCTTTGGGTTTTCGGAGAGTGACGACCAAAAAGTAGGTCATGGTGACCTACTTTTGACATTTTATAGCTTTATTTAAGTATCTTAGGTATTTGTAAGCTTAGAATCATCAAACTTTGTGGGTTGATGCATCTTGGGTTTTCGGAGAGTGATGACCAAAAAGTAGGTCATGGTGACCTACTTTTGAATATCTCGGATACATATTGGCTGAGAATCATCATACATGTTAACTCTCCCGATTTAGGCGGGAGTCTACCGCTTTTTCACTCCATCTCCCGCCTACCGATTTAATTCAGAAATCTACCGCTTTTCTACAAAAGCTGCGTCTAAAGTATTTTTGGTTCGCTTGGGTATCCATTTTTGAAGCCACTCTCATAAAATCTCGCTAGATATCGCGTGATTTGATTCGGAATCATACAAACGCTTTTTTTGTACATAGATTTCAAGCACGGATTTGACAACGACAACAACACAAGACTACCAGTGATTACATTGGTTGCGATAAATTAATCAACATCCCTGCCACGAAAAAGATTACAGCTTTTAAGAATTAGATGAAAACATTTGACATCGTCTTTAAAAGCACAGAAGCTCACAACTTTATCAATAAAGTCAATAGAAATCACTCAATTGACCAAGCCATGTGGCACATCTCTACTTTCGTTTTCGATCATCGCGGGAAATCTGATTTATATAACGAAAGATAGGAACTTGTTTTAGATCTAGATTAAACCATGTCATCAATTGTTTTGTTTAAAAACTGAATGAACATTCAGAATTATTGCTTCTAGGCTATATCAGCAAAGATCACTCTTCAAAAGGCTAAGTAAAGCAGCCAATCCAAACAAAATGATGAGCATAAAAAATATTTGAATTTGTAAAATTTATGTCAAACTTAAGGTGTTTCTGTCTTCTTCTTTGCTGTTGATATTTAAGATTAATAAGTGTAGGTACCTGATTTCATTTAAGGCTTATAATATACATGTATATTACATGAAAGATATCGATAATCCAAGCGTTAAACAACACGCGCGCAATGCTACCGCTTTTGAGGTCTAAATCTCCCTATTTTTCATCACAATAGGTTAACATGTATGGAATCATCAAACTTTGTCAGTTGATGTATTTTGGGCTTTCGAAATTCGCCTACTGAAAATTAGGTCACAGTGACCTACTTTTAACATTTTATGGCTATAATTAATTATCTCCTGTACTTATTGGCTTGGAATAATCAAACTTTGTCAGTTGATGCAATTTGGTTTTTCCAAGAATGTAGATGAAAAAGTAGGTCAAAGTGACTTACTTTTGACTATCTCACGTACTTATTGGCTTAGAATCTTCAATCTTTGTCTATTAATGCATCTTGAGTCCTCAGAAAACTTCAATCTTAAAGTAGGTCATTGTGACCTACTTATGGTTTTTTTTATAGCTTTATTAAAATATCTTCAGTTATAATTGGCTAAGAATCATCAAACTTTGTCAGTTGATGCAACTTGGCTCTTAGAATACTTAGGGTTAGAGGCTTCAAATAGAATTGATAGGTTGTACAATTTATCAGAAGAGTGATTCAAGGCCCTTGGGCCTCTTGTATAATAATACATGACACGGACATATTGTAGCACTTATTCATGATTACAAAAACAACTGCATACCCGGGGATTGCGCTTAATTTTAAATACATCATTTTATGTGCAAGTGCAATATACTCTTACAAGATGAAATGAGTCACTTTAAATATGTGTATGTTTTGTTGAAATGAATCTCCCAATATGAAGCCTGAACTCCTTCCCACTAGGCTTCCAAAACAATAGAAATATTTTCAGCTTAATATTTTGAGAACACTTTGCTTGACAGACATTAAACTTTGTAACCTGAAAAAAAATTGAGTTTGAGGTTACAAGGTCAAGGATCAAACTCCTTAGGAAAGATATTCAAAAAATATTATCCAATCAATAACTTGAGAACCCTTTGCTTAGAAGGCATCCAATTTGACATTATGGTGCCCCCAAAGCATGCTATGGATTAGATGACCTGTATTAATTTTGTGGTAAAAGGTCAAGGGTCACATCTTTCAGGACTTACAGGTACATATATATTGTCTGTTCAATATCTTGAGAATCCAATTGTGTTGACAAACATCAAACTTGGTACACTGGTACCCTCTAAGAAGTCAGTAACTCCTAATGATATCAAGGTCCGATTGCGATCAAAATATTATGTTTGCTCCTGACTATATAAGTTACATGTGAAACTCAACTTATCAATCATTCAAAATTTCAGGTTGATCTCTTTTTAATGTCACATATGTTCACACATGTATATTTCTTAAGACATTTCTTATCGATTTAAAAATAATTTGTAATTTCACAATTATTTTTTTTATTCTTCATGTAGATATGTACATCTATCATATAAGTATATATGCATTCATTTCAAACTTTTACTCAGATGCTCAGTAAATATTTCTGGATCAGTAGTGCCTTGAGTTAATGCTAACCTAATGATTAGTTGTCAAATTTCAACATATGGTTTCTATTACTGTGACCCTGAATAGAAATGTTTAGAAACTGAATTACCGGCATATATATATCACAATGCTCCTCCTTATCAGTAATTACCTGTGCTTCTGAATATGATTAGTAATGGAGTCAATCAATTTGAACGAAAATACAAGTTTATTTAAATCTATTCTGGATACCCTTGGACTTT